ATTCTCAAAAAAAAAAATATATATATATATATATATATTAGTGAAAAGGATAAAGCAGTTCTAAATCTATGATGTTAATAGGGAAATAACTTTATTTTGAAACTAGGAATGTAGCTGACTGTATAAAATCAGTTTCATAAACATTTTATCAAGCTTCTGCTATCCTCAGGCCACTGAGAAGCAAGGCAGCTCTGCCATCTCAGTGTTTGTTCTTGAGAACTGTCTCAGAGGCACTTGCTCTCGTTCTGAGCCTGTGGTGGGGAAGAGTGGAGGGCTGGGGGTTATGCAGACCACTGATTGAGACCCCCATTCCCACATGCCTTTCTGATCCCCAGTCCCTTTGTTCAAATGGGATTTGGGATCTCTGCCCTATGAGTGGGTGCTGGAAAAGTAAATGAAATTAGAAGGTGGATGGGACTGCCCCCTGCTCGGTTACCACAGTAAGCAGCAAGTTCTCAAAAGGACTTGGCGAATCTTGGGTGCTGGGAAGGGCTGGAGGGGACCTGGGAAAGGGGTACCTGTGAGACATTGGCCCCAGGCTTAAGAATGATGATGAGGGTGTGTCTGGATAGCATTTGTGGAAAAGCAACACAGCAAGCACCAAGGAAGTCACAGGAAGTAGGTCAGCAGCCCTAGGCCCTGGGGGCATTTACAGGACTCTCCCAGTGCGTCTTTTCTCTGGCATTTTTGTCTATGGCAAAGGTGGCTGGTTATGTAGAGCTTCCCTGACACAACCCAGCCATTCCTTCTATCTGAGTCTGTGCTGAGCCTCCTTCCTGGCTTTGATGATCATTGTGGGAAAGCCAAAAAAAAAAAAAGGCTTCCCTCCACCCTTCTATGTTCTTTGGCTGGGCTATGAATTAAATTGCTATAAGACCAATTAATGAGAGAAAAACCATATTTAGTTACATACCTACTTATGGAAGTCCCACAAAATATGAGGCTTGAGGAAGGGTCAGATGATTGCAGCTTATATAGCATCCTGAGCTACAGAAAGGAATAGGGGCTTAGAGCTTCTGGGGGAGGGTGGCAACACTAAGTTATGGCACAAGTTATAGGGACCTGAGGGGAGGAATTGTACGGTGAGTAAAGGTTGTGTTTTTATGCATATTAAAAGTCAGGTAAGGGCCGGGCGCTGTGGCTCACACCTGTAATCCTAGCTCTTGGGAGGCCGAGGCGGGCGGATTGCTCAAGATCAGGAGTTCAAAACCAGCCTAAGCAAGAGCGAGACCCCGTCTCTACTATAAATAGAAAGAAATTAATTGGCCAACTGATATATATATAAAAAATTAATTAGCCAGGCATGGTGGCACATGCCTGTAGTCCCAGCTACTCGGGAGGCTGAGGCAGAAGGATCACTCGAGCCCAGGAGTTTGAGGTTGCTGTGAGCTAGGCTGACGCCACGGCACTCACTCTAGCCTGGACAACAAAGCGAGACTCTGTCTCAAAAAAAAAAAAGTCAGGTAAGGCTGGGGGTGTGGTGACTAACACCTGTAATCCTAGCACTCTGGGAGGCCTAGGTGGGAGGATCACTTGAGCTCAGGAGTTCAAGACCAGCCTGAGCAAGAGCGAAACCCCATCTCTACTAAAAATAGAAAAAAATTAGCTGGGTGTGGTGGCATGTACCTGTAGTCCCAGCTACTCAGGAGGCTGAGACAGGAGGATTGCTTGAGCCCAGGAGATTGTGGTAAGCTAGACTGGTACCACGACACTCTAGTCCAGGCAACAGAGTGAGACTCTGTCTCAAAAAAATAAAAGTCAGGTAATTAAAGTTGTCTGGAGCAGCCACCTTCCTGATACAGATACTTTTATTAATCTAGATTTCCTTTATAGATATTAATTTCTTTTAAAAAGGACAACTTTTTGGAGCTACTGGGGTTCACTCACTGGCACAGTAAAGCCAGACACTTGGCTTTAGTGCATCTGTTGCCTAAAGTTGCAGCAGGAGAAATAGGCTTTATTTGCAGGGTGCCCTATAAGGAGAACAGGCAGCCAACGTTGAAATCTGAACTCCATGATGACTTACCAGCTGGGTTTTTTTTTTTTTTTTTTTTTTTTTTTTTTTGGTGTCATATCCAAGAAATCATTGCCCAGGCTAGTGTGAGTGCCGTGGCGTCAGCCTAGCTCACAGCAACCTCAAACTCCTGGGCTCGAGCGATCCTTCTGCCTCAGCCTCCCGAGTAGCTGGGACTACAGGCATGTGCCACTATGCCTGGCTAATTTTTTATATATATATATCAGTTGGCCAATTAATTTTTTTCTGTTTATAGTAGAGACGGGGTCTCGCTCTTGCTCAGGCTGGTTTTGAACTCCTTGAGCAATCCGCCCGCCTCGGCCTCCCAAGAGCTAGGATTACAGGCGTGAGCCACAGCGCCCGGCCACCAGCTGGGGTTTTTAAAGGCAGAGGTACATTTCAGTTAGGAAGAATTACAAATTGAGATGTGGAGGTTATATATTGGCCTGGCCCAAAAAGATGAAATATCCTGAAGTGTAGGGGTTGGGGATCTGTGGATTCAGAGATTCTTAGATTAGTGGAAATGAATGTTAAGGTGGCTGTGGAGGGCCCCTCGGGAAAATTTCGAACTAAAATTGGCGGTGTGAATTCAGTTCCTCGTTTTCCTCCTTATCTGCATTTTCCATCTGGTGGTGTTTCTGAAAAACTCTAGAACATATGTTAAGATACCATCATTTAGTTTCCACAGGGAACCAAAACACCTTGCTTAGGAAGTCATTGTTTTCTTCAGGTTGCCCATTCACTGTTCAAGGCTAGCCAGGTACCCTGGAACTTCCCTTAAAGGAACTCGAGATTTTCCTTTATTTCCATGCTTAAGGGGCCTGGCAGGCCTTTAAGAGGGGTCTCTGCTCTGTGTCACCAGTTCAAACTGTGCCAAAGAAGTATATTTGGGGGTAACATATTCTGGTCCTACAGTCATATTAATATTTTAGGGTGATGTGTCCTGAGCCCCAACACCATCTAAAATGTGTGCTAAAGATACTTTTCAGTGTATCTGAAAAGAGGGGAATGAGACAGTAAGGGGAAGGAAGTCTGTGTTTTGAGTAGGGAGATGTGGTTTTGGCCGCAGCTCTGCCCCAAATGCACCTTGGTTAAATTGCTTACCTTGACTGGACCTTGAAATGAGATGATCTCTTACAGCCTTAACATGCTGAGAGGCTAAGACAGATGATGTCATTGGTCTGCCACATAGTCAGACTCATGTCTGTTTCATGTCTATGGCAGTGAGTTCTTTCTTTTCATTTAGTTGTGTTTTCTGTTGTCAATCTAAAAAAAATAATCAAATGGGTCAGAATCCAGTTTAAAGAGAGTTTATTCACATGCAAAGTTGAGGACAGGCCACCCCAGAAGCACAGATTCTAAAGAATGGAAGTCAGTGTTCTGAAGTTTAAGATCACTTACAATAGACAAAACTTAGGGAAGTTTAAGAGAATTTCAACATCTTTCCGTATAAAGCTTAATGCATAGTTACAATGATCTGATTAGTTGAGGTGGTCTTGCTCTTTCAGGAGAGATACAATCTTTTGCATCATCTGGTCTTGGTTAGGTGCAGGACAATAAAGGAGGCAGTTATCTATAACAAAGATCAGTGATTGGAAGGAGAGAGGTCTGGTCTCTGATAGCCTGGCCATTTACAGTATAAGAACAATAAGGAAGAGAATTAAAAGCTATAATCTAAGAAGCAGAATTGCAAACATGTTATATAACTCAGTCTCCAGGGCTTAACTTCCCCCTGAACAGAATAAATTTAGAAGGTCCTGAAACTTTTTTTTCTTTTACACTATGATAGAGACACAAGCTATAGTAACCATCTTTAGGCATGGGGATTTTTGCTTTTGAATAAATGTCCAGTAGGAAATCATTGTGATGGTGGTGGTTTGTTGCCAAGTTGCTTTTCAGAAGCATTATAACAATTTACAGAGTTGTTAACTTTGTATGAAATAGCCTTTTAACCCAAACTGATCTAGTATTTGGTATAGTTATTATTTTTGAAATTTAGTTGGTATAAAATGGTACTTTAAATTTGCATTATATAATAATAATTGGAGCAGGCCAGGCACAGTGGCTCATGCCTATAATCCTAGCACCTTGGGAGGCTGCTGTGAGAGGATTGCTTGAGGCCAGGATTTCAAGCCTTCAGTGAGCTATGATCGTGCCACTGCACTCCAATCTGGGTGACAGAATGAGACCCTGTCTCTTAAAACAAAACAAGGCTGGGCGCGGTGGCTCATGCTTGTAACCCTAGCACTTTGGGAGGCTGAGGCAGGTGGATCACGCAAGGTCAGGAGTTCGAAACCAGCCTGAGCAAGAGCGAGACCCCGTCTTTACTAAAAAAAAAAATAGAAAGAAATTAATTAGACAACTAAAATATATAGAAAAAAAATTAGCTGGGCATGGTGGCACATGTCTGTAGTCCCAGCTACTCGAGAGGCAGAAGCGTTGCTTGACCCAGGAGTTGGAAGTTGCTGTGACCTAGGCTAATGCCATGGCACCCTAGCCCAGGCAACAGAGTGAGACTCTGTCTCAAAAAAAAAAAAAAAAAAAGTGAAACAAATAAAGCTACCTTTTTTGGGGGGTGATTATGTTTACATACTTTATCTCATTTACTCCTCTCAGTGACCCCAGCAGGGAAGCTAAATAGCTCACTTAAGTCTGTCACTTGAGGCTTGAACCTAAGGTAGTTTGACCTTAAGGTGCATTCTTTCTCTGAGTGCCTGTCCACACTTCAATTTGTGTGTGTGGTTACCAGAGTGTGAGCTTTTACTTATGTCCTTGTTTATTGGCTGTTTTCTGAGGTATGTGAATTTTATATAGTTTTCTTAGTAAATTGTGTGTGCTCTTTGTGTAGAAGAAATCATTAATCTTCTGCTATAGTGGAAGCAACAACAGAGGTGTATCCAGTACAACTGGGGAGAAGACTCAAGTGAACACTAGTATATTACCTTGAGTCTGGGCTCTCTGAAACCCTGTTTTCTCCCCCATGCAGCGGCCCTCCAGGCACTGAAGCGCAAGAAGAGGTATGAGAAGCAGCTGGCACAGATTGATGGCACGTTATCAACCATCGAGTTCCAGCGGGAGGCCCTGGAGAACGCCAACACCAACACTGAGGTGCTCAAGAACATGGGCTATGCGGCCAAGGCCATGAAGGCTGCCCACGACAACATGTACGTATCCACCTGCTGGTGGAAGGAGACCTGTGAGGCAGGGCAGTGCTGGCCCTGGAATGCCTCATGCTTGGACTGTGGCCTTGAGTGTACGGACCCCTTGATTTACCCATTCAGGCATCTGAGTTTGTTTTAATTTGCATTCTTTTGGGGAACTTCCTCTAAAATAGATTATGTGCCCTGCTGCCTTTGGAAGCAGGTCTCATGGAATGAAAAAGTATTTTCAGTGTTGTCTGAGATGGATATTCACTGGGTTGAGCAAGTACATGTGTATATACTATATTAGATAATTGCATATTTGTATTTGTGTCAATCAGCAGTGTATAGAAAACAATTCTGCACTTTTTTTTTTTTTTTTTTTTGAGACAGAGTCTCACTTGTTGCCCAGGCTAGAGTGAGTGCCCTGGCGTCAGCCTAGCTCACAGCAACCTCAAACTCCTGGGCTCAAGCGATCCTCCTACCTCAGCCTCCCGAGTAGCTGGGACTACAGGCATGCGCCACCATGCCCGGCTAATTTTTTCTATATATATTAGTTGGCCAATTAATTTCTTTCTATTTATAGTAGAGACGAGGTCTCGCTCCTGCTCAGGCTGGTTTCAAACTCCTGACCTTGAGCAATCTGCCCGTCTCAGCCTCCCAGGGAGCTAGGATTACAGGCGTGAGCCACCGTGCCCGGCTAATTCTGCACTTTTGTCTTGCCTTTTTGGCTAGTAGAGGATCCATAAGTGGATTTGAGTAGATGGGAAGGGCCTGTCAGGCAGCGTGGCTATATTTTATGATTTGTGATTTTATACTCCCGTCCCCACACAGAGTTGCCATTGGGCTTGAAGAGCTATTGGCCCAGGAGCTAGAAGTCCTATGGTCTCATCTGACATGCTTTCTAATTTGCATTTGGGAACTTGACCCTCCTGCTTCATTTTGCTAAACTTTATTTCCTTAGGGTGTTGGAGTAGGTTGTGTCCTAAGGACATTTCCATCCCCTTGATTCTGTGATTCTCTATTTTAAAGGGTTGGAAGAAGGCAATAATGACAAGTAATTCCTTGCAGGGAGTAATTATAGGGGGTGTGGCTGGGAAGTTGACTGTGTGAATGGGATTTCTGCTTCTGCCTTGCAGGCCCTCTTTACATAGATCAATCAGTTGATATGACATTTGTCCATTTCATTAAAGGGACATCGATAAAGTTGATGAGTTAATGCAGGACATTGCTGACCAGCAGGAACTTGCAGAGGAGATTTCAACAGCAATTTCAAAACCTGTAGGGTTTGGAGAAGAGTTTGACGAGGTGAGTGGTTTGGTACAGATCACATAAGCTTCATAAATGACACCCAGGTTGCCCCTTGATGTGCTCTTGAAGGCTCTCAGGCAGGGAGTATTTGTTTTGGAAATCACCAATTCTTACCCCTCCAAAGACTTAGACATAGACTTTTTTTGAGAGAGTCTCGCTTTGTTGCCCAGGCTAGAGCGAGTGCCGTGGCGTCAACCTAGCTCACAGCAACCTCAATCTCCTGGGCTCAGGCGATCCTACTGCCTCAGCCTCCCGAGTAGCTGGGACTACAGGCATGCACCACCATGCCTGGCTGATTTTTTCTGTATATATTAGTTGGCCAATTAATTTCTTTCTATTTATAGTAGAGACTGGGTCTTGCTCTTGCTCAGGCTGGTTTCGAACTCCTGACCTCGAGCAGTCCGCCCACCTCGGCCTCCCAGAGTGCTAGGATTACAGGCGTGAGCCACTCTGCCCGGCCTGGACATAGACTTACACATAGACAAGGCGTGGTGTTAATCTTCCCTGAATTTTGGAATACCCGCCCCGCCCCCCAAAACAGGGTCTCACTCTGTCTTCTGGGCTAGAGTGCATTGGCATCGTCATAGCTCACTGCAACTTCAAACCCCCGGGCTCAAGCGATCCTCCTGCCTCAGCCTCCTGAGTAGCTGGGACTACAGGAGTGCATCACCATGCCTGGCTACTTTTTATTTTTTTGCAGAGATGGGGTCTCACTATGTTGATCAGGCTCAAACTCCTGGCCTCAAGCAATTCTCCCACCTCAGCTTCCCAAAGTGCTAGGATTACAGGTCTGAGCCACTATGCCTGGCCTGAAATCTGGATTTTGAGGAACATTTTTCCTGTTTGGGGTAGCAGCTTAGGTAGAGTAATAGAGCCTTCATTTCAACTCTTCAGACAATTGGTTTCAACATTTCACCTTTCTGTGATGGGCCCTGGGCTTGCTTGGAACTGGGGTGGCAATGGTGACCATGCCCTGGAAAAGTTTACAGGGTTTGCCCTCAGACAACTCCAATGTGAAGTAAAAGTGAAGCCAAGGAGAGAGCATTTACATTTGACCCCTGAGGGATCTGTCTGGATCTTGGCCACCTACCAATATCTGCTGTAGCAATTTGGGACCTTGAGTCTCTTTAGGTTTTATCATACAATACCAGCCCCTGCTGAAAGTATTTTATTATGTGCTAGATTGGAGTCTCCTGAAGGTCAGCTCCTCTCCACTGATCCTAATCTTTGTGCTTTCTGACTCCCACTGTATAACCAAGTAAACAGCCTGCTGCTCTTACCCTTAGCTCTCAGCACCAGGGCTTTCATGTTTCAGACTGGAGTTTGATGGACTAATCAAGTTAATTTCAATTCAGGAAACATTCCTGAACATACACTCTTTGTGCCCAGCTCTAAGATGAAATAGGAATGAAAAGATACGATCTCCTCTCCCAGATGCTCACAGTCTAGTGCGGGACACCAGATATATACATCAGTGATGCTCGACAGTGTATTACGTCCCCTAGTAGAAGCTTGTTAGGATGTTTGAGTCACAGGATGGAACCTGGAGTTTATCTCCTCTCTGATCTTCTAAGAAGGGTGTGTGTGTCCACTCAGTGTCAGTAAGAGGCATGGCTGCAGGGGCTGGGGTTCCCAGGGAGGTGCTCATTCTGTGTTTCCTTTTACCAGGATGAACTCATGGCAGAATTAGAAGAACTAGAACAGGAGGAACTAGACAAGAATCTGCTGGAAATTAGTGGACCTGAAACAGTCCCTCTACCAAATGTTCCCTCTATAGCCCTACCATCAAAACCCGGTGAGTACTTCTTATCTGGAGTCAGAATGCCACATGGGGGTGATCTTCTGGTTGGTTGCCTTTGGTTTGGGTCCTGGGCTTGCCCAGGATTGAGAACCAGATAGGTTGACTACAGAGGCACTGTCACCTGCCCTTTACTAGTTTCTCTCTAGAACAGAGTTTCTTAATCTTGGCACTGTTGACACAGCCAGATAATCCTTTAGGCAGCAGGGTGGGGAGTGAGGGTGGGGTTGTCCTGTGCGCTGTGAATGTTTAGCATCTCCCCTGGCCTCTACCCACTAGATGCCAATAGTGACTGCCCCTGAGCTATGACAGCCATGTCTCCAGACATGGTCACATGTCCCTGGCAGGGGTTGGAGGGATCACCCCTAATTGAGAACCTCTATTCTAGAATGATTTTTTCCTATGCTACCAAACAAGAGAAAGTTCCAGGCACTGTGAGAAGGTGTGAAAGTTTAAGTCCAGGACAGTGCTTGCCCTCTGTCTAGTATCCTATGTCGTACATACCTGGAAAAGCCCAGGGCCTCAGAGGTGCCCCTATGGGAAGGAAACAGCTTTGGCTCTTTCAAAGACCTGGTTCTATAAAAGTTCCATTTCTGTTTTCCTCTTCCTTCTCCCCCTCTTCTCCCATAATATTTCACCCCCAGCTATAAGTATTCCACACAGAACTTCTAGAAAAAGGGAGGCAGTTTGATATGGCATGGAGAGAGAGACCCAGGAACAGTGTGTGACCAGGTTGTGGTCACCTCCCTTTCCTGTATATAAAGAGGAAATGGCCCCTCAAATAGAGTTGGCTGCCTGGAGCATGTGTGGGCGAGCTGTCCAGCAGGCTGCCTGAAGGTGTGTACAGGTGGTTCAAGTACCTTGAGGAGGAGTGAGGGGTTGGCAAGGATTAGATCTCTTGGGGGTTCTTCCTGCTGTACCCCCACCTTGGATGCTATGGGACCGAGGCCTCTAGGGAACCCTGCTGGACTCGCAGTGTAGAATCCTTGTTTCCTCTGGCCTTGCCGGGGACGGAGAGGAGGTGCTGCAGAAAGTGTGCCCGGTTTTCTGTTGCGGCGTTTGGGCGCTGAGAAGCAGCCCACTGACAGCCCGGAGATGAGGCTGGCTGCAAGGGCAGGCCTGCCAGGTGGACACCATGCAGCACAGCCCGAGCTCCCAGCCAGAATGTGTCAAAAGCACCACAGCCAGCCCTCCTAAATAACCTTCTCTTTCTTCACACAGCCAAGAAGAAGGAAGAGGAGGACGACGACATGAAGGAATTAGAGAACTGGGCTGGATCCATGTAACTGGGCCAGTGCGGGCTGCGCCCAGACAGACTCTGATGGCCTGCGTGGTGGGCAGGCGCGTGTGTGTGCGGGGCAGGCAGGACGTGGTGCAGGCAGGTTCCATCGCTCTCCAGTCTCACTCCAAAGCAGTAGGGCCACATTGCTGCTCACTCTCTGCATAGCATGGTCTGCACCCGGTGGGACGGGTGGGGGGAGGGGGGCGGGCGGGATGGGAGGTGCCTGCTGTTTATAATGTTGAATTTCTGTAAAATAAACTGTATTTGCAAATCCAACATTGAGCTTCTGGACTACGCTAACTCCACTGCTGAATCCTCAATGGAAAGGGTCGACCATTTGCAGTTGAAATGACCTGAAAATGTAGCCTCTGTTCTTTTAAGTCAGTTGACTTGTCGCACATCTCTTTGTATACTTGTATGGTACTGGCAGAAAAGTCGTTTTTTAAAAGCCATAGGCTTTTCCTTGTCCTTAGCTGTAATAATGCATCTGATTTTGATTTCCTCGAGAGCTGTATTTCTGTCCATCACCTGTGTACTGGCTCTGTGTCTACCACTCTGGCCCACTCCTCGCTCCTACTCCCGTGGTCTTTTGGAGTTTGTAACACTAATTTGAAATGGATGGTGTTCTCTTGAGAGCAAGTGAGATTGTTAGAATTAAGTTCCAGCTATACAGTTTTCTAACATAGCTCTAAGGTCCTTGTTGCTGTTTGTGATAACTGATAGATATCTCATTGAAAACATGCATACATTTATATTCAGATGAAATTATGGTTTGCACTGTCTATTAAATATCTCAATTAATTTTCATACTTTGCTGTTGTGTTCAATCAATCATTTGCCTCGGGAGTGGACCCTTTCTAGCCAGCAGGCTGTGCACTGGAGTCTGTGGAAACATACAGAAGACTTGACCATGACATATATCAACAATTTGAACCAAAGACTAGAACCTGTCTTACTAGAAATCTGTTCAGGGTCTAGAGCAGCCCTCACCTTGCTTGGAGCCTGTGAGGACAGTTCAGGGTGAATTGGTCTCATCCCTGTGTGTCCTCTGCCAGGGTCCGTGGGCAGTGCCTGCAGAGCCTCCTGGGCTCAAGCAATCCTGGTGCCTCAGCCTCCCGAGTAGCTAGGACTACAGGCATGCGCCACCATGCCCAGCTAATTTTTTCTATGTATATTAGTTGGCCAATTAATTTCTTTCTATTTATAGTAGAGATGGGTATTCCCACCGGCCAAGGTCCATCTGGTACATTGAAGAAAATGGCCTTTCCCATGGGCAGCAAGTGCAGGGCAGTGACTGAGAATCTAGGACACAGAGGTCATCTCAGGTCTGCTGTGACTCACTATGTGACTTGGGCCCAGCCCCTTCCACTCTGTTTCTTTCCTCTTGTGTCCCCTTGAGAATCTGATGAACACTGTGGACTATCTTCAGAAAAGTAGGTATGTCCATGTTCGTCCTTAATTCTGCATACAGATTTGCAGTATTGAAATGACACCTCTGTCCCCCTGTATTTGTCTTCAAACCTCTTTTTTTTTTTTTTTTTTTTTTTTTTTTGAGACAGAGTCTCGCTTTGTTGCCCAGGCTAGAGTGAGTGCCGTGGCGTCAGCCTAGCTCACAGCAACCTCAAACTCCTGGGCTCAGGCAATCCTCCTGCCTCAGCCTCCCGAGTAGCTGGGACTACAGGCATGCGCCACCATGTCCGGCTAATTTTATATATATATATCAGTTGGCAAATTAATTTGTTTCTATTTATAGTAGAGACGGGGTCTCGCTCTTGCTCAGGCTGGTTTTTTTTTTTTTTTGTTATTTAGTTTTTATTTCATAATCATAAACTTAACTCTGCAATCCAGCTACATGTGAAGGGATAAGGAAAATATGGGAACCCAAAGAAACTGCAGCGAGAGCACAAAGATTATAGGATATTGCGAGCAAATGGGGTAGAGGGGTGCTCTCCTGAGCTACAGAAGGAATGGTATGATGGTTAAGATAAAACATTTAAGTCAAATTTATTAGACTTGTCCACAGTCAGCAATGGTGATCTTCTTGGTGGTCTTGCCATTCCTGGACCCAAAGCGCTCCATGGCTTCCACAATATTCATGCCCTCTTTCACCTTGCCAAAGACCACATGCTTGCCATCCAACCACTCAGTCTTGGCAGTGCAGATGAAAAACTGGGAACCATTTGTGTTGGGTCCAGCATTTGCCATGGACAAGATGCCAGGACCTGTATGCTTCAGAATGAAGTTCTCATCCTCAAATTTCTCCCCGTAGATAGACTTGCCACCAGTGCCATTATGGCGTGTGAAGTCACCACCCTGGCACATAAACCCTGGAATAATTCTGTGAAAGCAGGAACCCTTATAGCCAAATCCTCTCTCTCCAGTGCTCAGAGCACGAAAGTTTTCTGCTGTCTTTGGAACTTTGTCTGCAAATAGCTCAAAGGAGACGCGGCCCAAGGGCTCGCCGTCGACGGCAATATCGAAGAACACGGTGGGGTTGACCATGGTTGGTAGCGGGCGACTCCGAGAAGCAGCAGCGTCTGCAAAGCCTCAGGCTGGTTTTGAACTCCTGACCTTGAGCAATCCGCCCGCCTCGGCCTCCCAAGAGCTAGGATTACAGGCGTGAGCCACAGCGCCCGGCCCTAAACCTCTTAAGATTAAAACCACCTGAGTTTGAAATTAGACAATGAGTTTAGACAATGAAATTAGCAATGAGTTTGTCATTGCTCACTGGGTACCCGGGGGCAAGTTGCCTATCCTCCTAGGGTCTCATTTTCCCATCCAGAAAGCAAGAGTGTGGGATGGGACTAGATCATTCCATAGGTCCTATCTGTGTGAAATGGCTCATGCCCTGTTCCTCACTCCTCATTGCTCCTCTTCCTGGTGCTGCCACACTTAGAAATGGGACTTGTTGACAGTGGCTTGAAAACGTGTGAATTGTACAGAGTTTGGGTCTGGCTATTTTCAGAAGTTCTTTCCACCTCAAGAAGAACCTAGTGGCTAGGCGTGGTGGCTCATGCCTGTAATCCTAGCACTCTGGGAGGCTGAGGTGGGTGGATTGCTCAAGGTCAGAAGTTTGAAACCAGCCTGAGCGAGACTCTGTCTCTACTAAAAATAGAAATAAATTAATTGACCAACTGAAAATATATAGATAAAAAAAAAAATTAGCCAGGCATGGTGGCACATGCCTGTAGTCCCTGCTACTCGGGAGGCTGAGGCAGAAGGATTGCTTGAGCCCAGGAGATTGAGGTTGCTGTGAGCTAGGCTGACACCACGGCACTCACTCTCGCCTGGGCACCAAAGTGAGACTCTGTCTCAAAAAAAAAAAAAAAAGAAGAAGAAGAAGAAGAACCTAGTAGCAATGCTTGCTGTCACCTTCCACCTTCTTAGTTGGTGTGGCCCCAGACGTCACGTGGTGCGGGAGATCCCTGGAGTGGACCTTCTTAAGCTCCTCTCATCAGCTGCCTTGGGGGCTTCATGCCCTTGAAAAGTCTGGGTGAGGGAACTTGCAGGCCCAAAATCTAGGTCCAGGACAGTGTAGGGGACTTCTCAGAAATAGCCGCTTATTTCTGCTAGACATGGGCCTCGTGCCAGGGCCCGTGGGAGACAGTGTTCAGCAGTACCCAGCCCCTTCCTGTTCTAGGAGTTTCTCAGGGCGGGAGAGAGAAGTTACCGTATTAGGATCCCTTGACTACAAGCAACAGAAGATTCAGCCAACTGGTATAAACAATGAAGATGTTTCTTTACTCATTCAAAACTTATTCAACACGTATTTATTGAGCACCTACTGTGTGCCAGGTACTGTTTAAGGTGCTGGGAGTGCATACAACAGACTGAGTGCCTGCCCTCAGGGGGCTTACTGTCTTAATCTCAGGACAAGAAGTCTTGGTGGTGGGAGGGTTCTGGGTTTATGTCCTCAAGAGCCAGTTTCTTTGCCTCCTTCCACTCTGCCACCCTGGGCACGTAGGCTTTCCTTCTTAGGCTTGCCCCCTGTTGGTTGTGAGCCGGCCCTTCATCACATACCCACGGTCAAGAAGCAGGAGGCTCAGCACCTGCCTGCTTTTACTCCACCTCTGCCCCTATAAACAGGAGGCAAGCCTTTCCCAGAAGACTCTACGCAAACTAGTCCTTATGTCTCGTTGGCTGCAACTGTCAAATGGCCACTTGTTGCTTCAAGGGAGTCTGGGAAAGTGGGTACAGGACAAAGGGGTTCAGTCAGGGCTCTCCCCTAGGGCTATCATTGGAACCTCCCTTCCCTGAGTATATCGGTGCCTGCCTACTTGATAACCTGGACAAAACTGAGGTTCTCTTAGCAAGGAAGAAAGAATAGTTGCTGAGTAGGTGGCACCAACAGGGTCCACCATGGAGACAGATACCAAAGACAGGTGTGTGACCAGTGCTCCAAGTGTCTTCTAAAAAACTGATCTGATCATGACACTTGCTCCTTTCACATCCTAAATCTGCCTCCATCCTCTCCTCTTTTGTGGTTGAAAAACTAAAGGTGCATAGGCCTTACCCAAGGAGCTTGTTGAAAATCTGGCTGGGTGGGGTAATTGCATTTTAAAAACCCCCTTGCGGGCCGGGGTGCAGTGGCTCACGCCTGTAATCCTAGCACTCTGGGAGGCCGAGGTGGGCGGATTGCTCAAGGTCAGGAGTTCGAAACCAGCCTGAGCCAAGAGCGAGACCCCTGTCTCTACTATAAATAGAAAGAAATTAATTGGCTAACTAATATATATAGAAAAAATTAGCCGGGCATGGTGGCGCATGCCTGTAGTCCCAGCTACTCGGGAGGCTGAGGCAGCAGGATCGCTTGAGCCCAGGAGTTTGAGGTTGCTGTGAGTGAGGCTGATGCCACGGCACTCACTCTAGCCTGGGGAACAAAGTGAGACTCTGTCTCAAAAAACCCCCTAAAAACTCTTGCGTAATTTTGGTATAGCTTGGCTGGGCCCACACTCTGGAATACTCAAGGTCGACAGGATCAAGTCCTCAGGATGGCTTACATGGTTCCTCCATGACCGGCTCCCATTTTCATCCCCTTCATATCCCCCCTACTCCTCATCTTGTGGACACTGCCCTCCTCATCCTGCAGGGTTTGGTGCTTCCCCTCTGCTTCCACCTCTCCACACTCCTGCCAGTATTTCCCACTCCCTTACCTGGCGGTGAGGTGGTCGCATTTCCTGGCCCCTAGGTCTGCTTGGCACAGATCAGGTTCTCAAGGATGTGTGAGGTGGAAGGTCAGGGGGGAGTACTGTTGCCTGGGGCTGCCAGGAGCAGTGGGGTTTGCACTTGGCTTTTGCTTGCGCTTGAAGGAGCAGAGTTTCTAAGTGTGCCTGTGAGGGGTGGGGTGCCAAGGGAACCTCAGGAGGAGGCTCTGCAGAGTTGGCTGGGGGAGTTGCTTGGGAGGTGGTGGGAGGTGGGACGGGAGAGGTAGGCTGGACTCTGTGATGGAGGATGTGCACAGTCCTGAAGAGGCAGGCAGGGAAAGGAGGGAGAAAAGGGAGGAGCAGAAAACAGGAAGGAATGAAGAAAGAAAGGTGCTCAGGTGATAATTTGGGAGATGGAGGTGGGGTCGAGGTGAAGCTCTAAGGCAGCCTTCCATTTCCTGCAGTGACTGCAGACAGGTTTTTAGAAGCCCCAGCGGCGGGGGATCCTGAGGAGTCAAACTCTGCTGCTGCTTTCTCGCTCCCCGGCCATCTTGGCGGCTGGTCTTGGTTGGGGGCCGTCCCGCACCTAAGGCAGGAAGATGGTGGCCGCAAAGAAGACGAAAAAGTCGTTGGAGTCAATCAACTCAAGGCTCCAACTCGTTATGAAA